AGACAAACTAGACTTCTTTGTTCTTGTATTGTTTTTATACTGCTTTGATATCATGGAATGATTTTGAATGTGTTCCTTCTATTCCATTATTTGCAAGATTTTGATAAACACTGTCATTAATTTCTTTTTTAAATGTTTGGTAGAATTCACCAATGAAACCATGTTGTCTTGGGCTTTTCTGTGCTAGGAGATTTTTGATTCCTAATTCAACTTTCATTCTTGTTATTGGTCTAAGAAGATTTCTTATTTCTTGGATTTAAGAGTCATGATTGCATTTTGGTAACTTGTGTGTTTTTAAGAATTACCTGGTTTCTTTTTCTAAGTTATGCGATTTGCGAGTATGTAATTGTTTGTAGTAATCTGTTATTACACTATGTATTTCTGTGGTTATCTGTTGTATTGTTCTCTTCCATTTCTCATTTTGGTTTCTGAGTCTTCTTTCTCTTTCTCCTTAGTTAATTTGGCTTAAAGCATTGCCAATTTTATTTTTTGGGAAAACTGGTCCAGTTTCAATGTTATGTTATTGTTTATTCTAGTCTCTATTTTATTTATTTCTGATTTTTCTTTGTCATTTCCTTCCTCTACTAAATTTCAGCCAGGTTTCTTCTTTTCCTAGTTCCTTGTGGCGTAATGTTAAGTAGTTTATTTGAACTTTTTTTCTTAATACAAGCATTGATAGCATAAATTTCACTCCACATCTGCTTTTGCTGTATTCCATAGGTTTTAAAACATTGTGTTTTCTTTTTCCTTTGTTTTGAGACATGTTTTGATCTGCCATTTGGTTTCTTATTTGGTCCATTGCTTGTACAGGAGAGTGTTGTTAAATATTTACACATTAAATATTTAATATCTTTAAAAAAAGAAACAAAGTCAAGATTCCAACCAGAACTGACTGATGTCAAAGCCCATGTTCCTTCTACACTGTGCTTATAATACCTGAGGCCAAGAGAATGTTACACCTTTGACAAATTTATAGAGTTAGCTATTTGTGAGGAAAATTTCCTTTTCTCTGCCATATTCTTGCCATCCAGGGCCAGTGGCAGAAAGAAGACCATTGAAATCACTTGTGATCCAGTCCTTCTATGTGCGCCTCTTCTCAAGTCCTAGTCCTTAGCCAAGCTTCCAGTCCATCACGTCCCCCTCTGGTTTCTCTAGTCTAATTATAGCTCTTAGAACACTCTCTAATTCAGACAATAATCACAACATCCTGTTTCGTTCAAACAAAATTCTCTAAAAACAAGGATAATTACCCTTCAAGGTGTTTTATAAATAATGAAAAGATAATATCTCCTTAAATTCATACAATGGGTGCTCTTCCTTCTCAAAGAACTTTACAACTATTAACTAATTGGTGCTTTAATATAATACTAAATGCCTTTTATCCCTTGGAAGCAAAAGTGTCCGAGGGTAAAGCAATTCTGACTCTTGCCTGACAGCACAGGGGGTTCTGACCCTCATTTTGGGAACTGCAGCCTCCTGAACATGATGAGGATAGAGCAGAAAGTAAAGTGAGAACAAAGGCTGGAAATTAATGGAAATCTTCCCATCTATTAGCCATGCTGCTCACAAGGCACATGTTTTGATAAGATGTTCCTTCAGCCATATAATTTGGTATTTTAAAGGTGGCTTCCATCAATTATGATAATGTGGTATATGATGTAAGGGAAAGCTGAAATCCCAGTGAACTCTATTATACAACAGCTGACCTCACACTGAATGAAAGACTAAGCTACGAGTAAACGCACATGAGGTTGCTGCCAACCAGTCCTCTACAACATAAAGAAATGGTTCAGATGATCAAATAATACTTCCCTGGTTCTGTGCTGTCTTTTTAAAATACTAATATACAGTCATTTATTGTTATTCTATTTTTAAGTTTATTTTTATATATTTTTATTCAAGTATAATTAACATATGGTGTCCGTTAGTTTCAGGTGTCCAATATGTTTCAACAATTGCATACATTACTCAGTGCTCTTAATCCCCTTCACTTATTTCACCCATCCCTCCATCCCCATTTCCTCTGGCACCCCCCAGTTCTCTGTATTTAAGAGTCTGGGGTTTTTTGTATACCTCTTTTTTTCTTTGTTTGTTTCGTTTCTTAAATTCCACATATGAGTGAAATCATATGGTATTTGTCTCTCTCTGACTTATTTCATTTATGATTATACCCTCTAGATCCATCCATGTTGCTGCAAATGGCAAGATTTCATTCTTTTTTATGGCTGAGTACTATTCCATTGTGTGTGTGTGTGTGTGTGTGTGTGTGTGTGTGTGTACCACATCTTTATCCATTCATCAATGGATGGACATGGGTTGTTATATGGAACTGTGGCCAATTTCATCTACTGTTTTATTATAACTTGTTGTAATAGTTAAATAACATAATACTTCTCTATTAATTTCTCATATTATTTGAAGACTTTCTTTAAGGATTTCCAATGACAATTATTTACCTGGCAACATGGTCTCTGGGGAGCACAACTTCGAAACCAAATCTAGAGAAATACACAATACCCTTCTTGGGTTCCTAGAGCTGAAAGATACACCACTGTAATTCAAACTATTCTGTACAGAAATGTGACCACACGCAGCATTCAAGAAATCAGCTCTTAGAGTCAGTAAGAAAAAAAGAGACAAAATTCTTGACAGATGGGCTTTAAAAAAATTGCAACAACAACTTAAACCAGCCTCCTTAAGGCTTATTTCAATATCCTGGACAATAAAAGAATCCAGACTGACCTTCAGTATGAAACGTTGGTTCTCTTTCGGTTTAAGGAAGATGCTTGATATTGTGGTAACTGTCCCGGTGCTCTACTCATTCCCTTAGGCAAGAGGAACTCATTTCTTAGAAGAAAGCCTTAGACACTATTATAGACTGAAAGTTTATGTACCCCCCAAAATGCATATGCTGAATGCCTAACCCTCAACGTGACTGTATCTGGAGAAAGGGCTTTTATGGAAGTCATTAAGATTAAATGAGATCATAAATGTAGGGTGTTGATCTAACAGCAATAGAGTCCTTATAAGCAGAAACCCTAGAGTTCAGCTCATTCTGTCATGCATGGACATAGTGAGAAAGTGGCTGTCTGCTTTCACAGGAACCAAAATGGCTGGCACCTCAATTTTGAACTTCCCAGCCTCCAAAGCTGAGAAAATAAATTTCTGTTATTTAAGCTCCCAGTCCACAGTATTCTGTTATGACAACCCTAGCAGACTAACACAGATACCAAATTAAAAAGAAAATATCCACAGGTTGAGTGAGAACCATAGAACAGAAGAATATTTGCAACTTAAAATCTACAATGGAACTTGCCTGTATAATTGTTTCAGTTGGACTCCCTGGAAGAGTCCAGTTAAAGATCCTGCAGAACCATGACATGGCAAAAGATGACTTTTTTTAATTGTCTTACATGTTTAACTTATTTTAATAAAAGATTTTCCTGCAACAAGAATAAAATACCTAGGAATAAACTTAACCAAAGAGGTAAAAGACCTCAACAGCAAAAACAAATAAAAAATTCCAGGTAAAAAATGAAGACATACCGATGGCCAACGGGTGCACGAAAAGATGCTCAGCATCAGTAATCATCAGGAAAATACAAATTAAAACCACAATGAGATATCACCTCACACCTGTCAGAATGGCTATTTATCAAAAAGACAAGAAATAACAAGTGTTGTCAAAGATGTGGAGAGAACCCTTTTGCACTGGTGGTGGGAATGAAAATAGGTGCAGCCTCTGTGAAAACCAGTATGGAGGTTCCTCAAAAAATTAAAAATAGAACTACCATATGATCTAGCAACTCCACTTCTGGGTATTTCCTCAAAGAAAATGAAAACAATAACTCAAAAGGATATATGTATCTCCATAATCATTGCAGCATTATTTACAATAGACAAGATATGGAAGCACCTAAGTGTTTACTGATGAATGAATGGATGATGAAAGTGTGGCATAAATATATATATATATATTTATACATATATATATAAATATATACACTATTCAGCCATTAAAAGAATAAAATCTTGCTATTTACAACAACAAGGATGGTACTTGAGGACATTATGCTAGTGGAATAAATCAAAAAGAGAAAGACAAATACCAGATGATCTCACTTATATGTGGAATTAAAAAAAAAATGAACTCCTAGATACAGAGAACAAATTCGTGGTTGTCAGAGGCAGGGGGTGTGGGTAGGCAAAATGGGTGAAGGGCATCAAAAGATACAAACTTCTAGTTATAAAATAAATAAATCACGGGGATATAATGTACAACGTGGTAACTACAGTTAATAATACTATATTGTATATTTGAAAGTTGCTAAAAGGGCAATCTTAAAAGTTCTCATCATAAAAAAATTATAACTATGGTGCAAATATTAATTGGACTTATTGTGGTGTCTATTTCACTATATATATACATGTATCAAATCATGTATATCTGAAATTAATATAATGTTACATGTCAATTTTTAAGTTAAAAAAAAAAGAATTTCCCACAGAACAAAAAGTCTGGCTCATCTGTATGTTTACATTATTTGGCATTCACAGGTCAGTACCTAAAGCTACAGTGGAACACCCAGTGCTCCACAGAAATCCTAATGTGTCAAAGACAGTTAGTGCTCATCGAATATTCCACAAACTCCCCTATATTTCACAGTACATCTGGGGTCATATAACTAAATCTAGGCCAAGGACTCTGAGTGGAAATGCATGTCACTTCCAGGCCAAGGCCACTGAGAGCCAATGCACTTCTACCATCTTCGTTTTCCCACCCACACCCAACACAGAAACCACATGTTCCAAATTCTATAGCGGCAAAATGGAATAGGTAATAAGAAGAAATAAGCATTTATTTGGTAAGCCCCTGAAATGTCAAGGTTTTATTTGTTGTGGCAGCTAAGAGTAATTACTCTAACATATCCTGGAACTCTGATTCTGCAGATTTTATGACTTTAGTGCTATCTGAAACTTGAACGTAAACTTAAACCTACCTGTCAAGTTGCGACAGACCATCAGTAATTGAACACGGAGGTAACTGCGTAGATCAAGCATCAGTGTCTCCATAGGAACCACTTACTAAACTTCTTTTCTGTTCCTTGGTCTGAGCTACATGATGTGGAGAAACAACAAGGAAAAAGACATAGTTTAGGCTCTCACAATGCTTTCAGTATTGTAACCAGCAAGGTTTTAGACTCCTGCCTCTCCTAACCAGGATACTAGAGCTCCTTTGTTTAAGGAATTACATAATTATGCCACACTGAGATTTTATACATACCTATAATGATGATCACATGAACCAAGGAAATAAGAAATGAGGATTTAATTGATGTCATGGGTTTCAACTGCAATTATAGCAATAAAAATCATAATTTGGTTTATAGTAACTTTCTCTACCACATCCCTGCCAAAGTGCTTAGGGCTTATAAGGGTAATTAAATATAATCAAAGAAAATAATGTTAATTAAAACCATAAGCTAGAACTATGGTGATGGTTAGATTAATGGACATCTGAGCTAATGGCACATTCCCTTGTCTTATTCCAAAAGACCAAGCAAGGAACCTTCTTTTGTCATTCATCTTCTTTTTACTAATGGAGAAACCGAAGGACATGGGAGGCTGTCTGGATGGAAAACATGGAAGACAGACCAGACAGAAACCCATGTGGAACACGGAGTTTATTTATGGGTTCGTGCTCCCCCACACCCCCATGCTCTTTGCCTTAGTCCCTCTCCACTGCCATTCTCAGATGTCACTTTCCAGTTCTTGGAAGATAAAAAGTTTATTTTTGTTATTTTGGTTTTGCCTCTTTTGTGTCCATGGTGTCTACCTGATGCCTTTAAGTGACTAGAAAAACCAGGAGTACTGCCTGGTTCTCCTTGTGACCCTCCTCCACTGGTTTCTTCCAGTGTCTACTTTTGAAAGGAAAAGAGAGAGAGAAAGAAAGAGAATGATTTACTTAATGGATCATCCCCCTCTAAGGCCCAACAGAATCCTAATCATCAAAGCCTGATACAGCAATCTGTCAAGAGTATGAACTGACTGGCTAATAGTAGGTCAACTTCCTCTACTAGAACCTCCCTTTGCTCAAAATAACTTCTCTTATATTGTCAATTGCTTCTTCTAGCTACTATTAAAAAGCATTACAGTTGCTTCCTCTGAATGTCTCAGGACAGAAAAAAATATCTTGTTAGAGAATGTTATATTAAGAAAAACAAAAATATTAAGCACTTCCTACACAATGGGTCAAACACAGTTTTATTTGTTATTATATGAGTTTACTCAACTAATTAACTCACAAAAAATGATGAAGTATAAATATAGGTGTGACATTTGTTCAAATATAGCACTCAGTAAAAGTCATCAGCATGTGACATTAACACTAAAACATTACAATTTTTATAAAGTCTTCCCCTGAGAAGATTCAGTTCTTCAATCTTCTTTATGAAGTCCCAAAATACCGTGAATCTTACACTGACTGAGGGTGTTTCTCCATTCGCATTATTCCAAAATATGCCAGAAGGAATCAACATGCCCCATAATATGAAGGAAGCTTAGTTTGCAGGGTGTTTTCCCCACATAATCAGAAAATAACTTATATTCATCCACTGTTCTACAGTGAATCACATTGAGGCAGATTGGAAAGAACATGGAACTGAAAAGTATTTACACGCTGAACCTGGCTTTGTGCTTGAGTCAGCTGTGACACTTGAGGAAGTCACTTTACCTCTGCTCTGACCCACTTCCTCATCTACCACGTGAGAAGCATATTTCCATATTGTCTGTTTTGACTAAAAAAAGCTAATTTAAGATACACAATATTTAGGATACATCCATTTAAGATTATTTTCCATTTCTTCCTACCTCTCCCTGTTTCCATCATTCACTAATCAATGATCAGTCACCTTCTGAATGTCAGACCCTATGAGGAACTACGTGGATCTATAATGTTTGGGGGATACAACATATAACATTATCTTGTCTACAAGACCATAATTGGGTAGGGGGGAAGCAGTCATGTAAACAAGTAACTCTAATGCAGTGTTACTGCTACAATAGCGGGAGGGGCCAAGTGATATAGGAGAACAAACAGGAGTTAGAGTGGCCAGACAAGGCTTCAGAGAAGATGTGACATATGACTAGTGCCTTGAAAATGAAGACCTCATATTTTTCTATAAAATCTCTCTCTCCACGTAGCACTACTCTAATGGATATCTGGTCTACTTTCATTATACGTTAAAAACCAGTGCTTCAGCCAATGTGACCATGGCCCTAAGTAAAATTTCTTCTGACTATACCAGCAACCCCATTGCCAAAACCAAAACCACATTTCATCTCTTTTGGTGTGACAATGGATCCAACCATTACAATGGAATATGGAAGTGGCTTGAAGATAGAAACAAAGTCAACTGAAGTCATCCAAAGAGCCCACATTGCCTTTTATCATTAAAAAAAAAAAAAGAAAAACCATTTAATTCCATTTTTAGGAGCCTGTAGATGCCCAGAGATGCTTTTACAGCTTTCTCTAGTTTGGATACCCAAACTCCTGTGTAAAGAATTCCAGCCAAAGAATTAAGCTTCAATTTCTCTTTGGGGATATTCTCAACCTGTAAAGACATATACTAACACATATGTGACAAGGTGGCTCAAGCATCTCTATTAGGAAATCCACAGTGCACATTCCAACCAGCCCCTATCGTACACTCATAGCAACACATTCAAACCAAGCCAAGTAACCTGTTTCTTCCTATCAACAACAGCATCCAGGTAGTATCGGTGTGGAAAGATTCACACGTAGCTATGGCAATATGCCAAAGTGAATGGAGTAAAATCATAAAGACATGTGCACCGTGCGACTCTGTAGGGGGAATCTTAAATAGAATAAAAATTATCCTTTTGATATTAAAAATAAGTCCTCAGAGACACCTGGGTAGCTCAGTCGGTTAAGCGTATGACTCTTGGCTTCGGCTCAGGTCATGATCTTGGGGTGGTGAGATCGAGCCCCACGTCAGGCTCCACGCTGAGTGTGGATCCTGCTTGGGATTTCCCCCCCACCCTGCCCTCAAAATAAATATATAAATAAGTAAGTCCTCAAATCTGACAAGAGTTCATTAAAAGGGGAAATACTGATGCACTATTATCAGGGCTGTGGGAGATTACAATCTTTGGGAAAGTAATTTATTCACATGTATCAAGAACTTGAAAATGCTCATACTCCTGGCCACAGGTTCTAGAACATAATGCTATTTATAGAAAATTCTCTATGCATGAAGATGATCATCACAGGATTATTTTCAGTAATAAAAAATGTATAATCCAAAAGTTCAACAAGACAATGATTTATTAAAATTAGTATATACCTACATATTAGTATACACTAGAACTTAACAAAAGGTTTATAAACTCTTGAAAATACTTAATTTAAAATATTAAGAAATAAATCGAATTATAAAATTGAGTGAACAGTTGAATTTTAGATCACAACTCTGCTTTAAAAATGCACAGATACAAGAAATTCACCAAAAAATTCCCAGTGATGGTCTTTGAGTGAATAATTGATGGACATTTTACTTTTTCACATTTTCCATGTTTTCTTTAATAAGCTTCAGGGAATAAATTAAGTGCATTAAATGCAATAACTCAAAATAGCCCTGTTTAGGTATGGTGTTAGATATTCATAGATCCACAGACAGCCAGACAGATCAATGACCAACATGAGCCAACACAAAATTCAAAAGAATGTCAGTGAACTGAAAAGCTAAGGGAGGCATAGTAATATAAAACAGGAAAGTCAGATTCCAGAACTTATGAGTAATAAGAAGATAAATGCAGAGAAAAATTGCTATTAGAAATGCATCCGATTTTTCAAATAATCTGCAAGACAGATGAATTCAGAATGTCTCTGTTAATGAAGTTTAATTTGACCAAAGGACTAAAGCAATTAATTCAACAAATCTTGACTAGAACCTGTTGTATGCCAGGTACTTGTCCATGTGTCTGGGACACAAAGAGAAATATGACATGGTCCCTGCCTTCAAGATGCTTAGCAGAGTATGGTTCAGTGCTATAGCTTTTACTATATTTGGATTTCATTAATGCAGGTACCTTCCCCAAAATTGCCTAAAGATAAGACATTTTTACATATTTCATTTGGACTAGTGGGAAGGAAGATTAAATTCCGAAGAACTGACTGATGAAAGAGATTAAAATTTGGAGTTGGGAAATGAAGTTAAGAGTTCAATAATTCATGCTGAGATTCTACAGCTGCTAACACCAGAAGAGGCTGGAGGAAGAAGTCAGCTTACCAAGTGAGTCAGTTGGCCGAAACCATTTGTGGAGTGCCCACAGCAGCCTCAAGCACTGTAAAAATAACTGTGAAATGGTGCCGAAAAAAATAGACCATTGACCTCTTCCACAAGAAGCTTCCACACTGATTTGGGAAATAAAACATACAAAAGCAAAGTCAAAGAAAATGTTTATAAATTTCATTTGTCGATATGTCCAAATGGAAAAATAGGGCATAGAAGTAAAGAGGGCACCACACAGAACAGGGACCATAATCTAGGGTGTGAATCATAGAACGGTGTATTTGAAGCTGCGTTCTGAAGGTCATGAGTGACAGTGACAGAGAAAAGAGAAAGGAATGGTGCACTCAAATGTAAGGAGAACAAAAGAGTGACAAGTGGCATAAGGCCTGGAGGTCAAGTTTGGCTTGGCTCTAGCCCAATAATTCCCATCTCTAATTGCACCTGGAAACGTTTTAAACACACCCATACCTGGAGTTCTAACGTCACTGATCCAGGTAGGGCCCAGGCATTAATGTTTTTAAGAAAATGCCCCAGGTGGTTCTGGTGTGCAGCCAATGTTGATTATCCCTGAGTAAAGGGAACCTGTAATTCAATAAGGAAAGATGACGTACTTGAAATGGGAAACAGATATTTGCAACTTAGTTAAAAGACAGCTTTAAATTCCATAATCAATTTGGCACATTAGACTATGAACTTCTTGGAAGCAGGGATCATGTCTTTATCCATTTTTGCATAAACATAATATTAAGTTAATATTTTCAAATGAACGTTGAACAAAAGGATGAATCATTACTGTAGGCA